GTGAGAGAGAGAGAGAGAGAGAGAAAGCAAGCCACCAGGTCCAGGGCTCAAACTGTAGTCAGCCATGTGGGAGTCCAGCGCCCTTAACTACCACACCACCTGCCAGTACTTATTATTATTCTTTCTTAAATTTGACCAGAGAGAGACAGAAAAGGGAAAGTTGAGGCAAGCCACCAAGTCTGGGACTCAAACCATGGTCAGTCATATGGGAGTCCAGTGTCTTAACCACCATGCCTCTTGCCAGCCCCTAAAATCATTATATTACCCTTTCTCTTTCTCCAGCCAGCACACATGTCCTATATATAGCAAATTAAATATATGTGTGTATTTACATAAAAATATGTATGTGTGTGCATATATATGTATATATGTGTTTGTGTGTGTGTGTGTGTGTGTGTGTGTGTGTGTGTATTAAGGCCAGACACTCTGGGGTAGCGATAACACACTATTCAGAATGCTGACACTACATGGAAGGGTCCAGTTTGCACCCTTAGGTCTTCCTCTACTTGGCAGGCACACACACTCATGCCCATGATCCTGACTGGCTGGCGCTGGGGCTGGGGCTGAAGCTGGGGTAGGTGGCACAAGGATCCTACTAGAGGTCTCTCTGTCTCGGAGATAATAAACATTTAAGAAAAGAAAGAAAAGGTTAAGTCATTTGTTCTAGCATTTCTCAGGGCTAGCATACTGAGAACTCAGCACGCTGTTCACAAGGACTCCTTTTTGAAAGGACTCTTTCCAAATGGGTTTATTAGCATCCAAATAGTCCCACCAAGTCCCTTCTACCACACCTGTTCCTCACCCAGGGCCTCTGGCCTCCTAGTGGAGATCTGCAGGCTCTCAGCAGAGACAGGGACAAGCTGCAGAAGTACACGAGCCAGCTGCTTCCCAAGATGGCCACCTCCAATGATGCCCACCTTTACCTCCTTGTCGTCAGAAGTGTCTGAATTAAGTGGTTCCACTGACAAATCTCTGGAACTTTGAGCCTCATGTAATGATTCTCTGAAGAATGAGCAGACAGGCACATACATAAATACACACTCACTGTAGCTCTTCTTAACTGTCAACCTCTGACATTCTCTGCTTTAACTTTCTTAACTGGAAACCTAGTGGCACCACAGGTACCTTCAGAAATAAAGCATGTCAGTTGCGTGCCATGTATCCAGCCTCACTAAGGAATAAAATATCCCTCCTGAGTGAATTTTCTAGAAACTAAAACATAACCCTTTTCAAGAGACCAAAACTTGTTTAAAATGTTTTTAAATAATTGCTCTTTCACATGTAGTAAGAGAAATCACACTTCAGGGGAAATGGCCACACCACTATCCCTTCTCCTCCATTCTCCTGGGGTCTTGGACACGCATGTTTGTATAGGTGTGCCTCAGTGCACCCAGCCTTTAGGTTGTACTGAAAACTGATCCTAGTCTCCCTTCTGGTCCCAACCTGTGGAGCATAGTGTCTCATCAGTATGCACCCCCAGGGATTGGCCCTGTTTAAAAAAAAAAAAAAAAAGAATTCTACACTCCATAGGTTGCCTCTTTTTTTAAAAAAAATTTTTTTTAGCTTTTGCTATACGGGGTGTGTGTGCTTACAGGAGAGACACAGGAAGAGGGAAAGTGAGAAAGCATGCCCCCTAGGTGGACGACCACACAGCAATCCCTTCTCCATTCTCCTCTCAGGATTTTGGGCATGCACATGTATCAGGTGTGATTTTTCAAGTCACTGGGTCCAGGATTCAAACTGTGGTTGGTCATGTGGGAGTCCAGCATCTTAACGACTATGCTATCTGCTGGTCCCCATAGGTTGCCTTTTTACTGTGTTGACTTGTTTTGTTTACTATGCAGAAATTTTAAAGTTTGATGTATCCTATTTGTCTACTTTTGCTTGTGTTACCTATTTATTTGGTTTGTTATCCATAAAATCATTCCCAAATCCAATGTCATAAAGCTCATCTCCTGTTTTCTTTTAGGACTTCAATGGTTTCAGGTTTTACATCTTGTCTTTGTTTTCTGGTGCTATAACTAAATATCACAGACTGAGTAATTTATAAAGAAAAAAATTATTATTTATGTTTTTTTTTTTAAGAGGTTTTTGCTATAGGATGCGTGTGCTTGCCAGAAAGACAGAGACAGAGAAACAGAAAGCAAAAACTCACCCCCCAGGGGGATGGCCACACCACAATCCCTTCTCCTCCATTCTCCTCTCAGTATCTTGAACATGCACACACACGTGCCCGGTGTGAATTTAAACCACTGGGTCTGGGACTTGAACTGCGGTCGACTACATGGGAGTCCAGAGACATAGCCATTACTCCAACTGCTGGCCCCAGGGGAAAAAATATTATTCATCTTATAGTTCTGGAGGTCCAAGGTAAAGGGATTGCAACCAATGAGGGCTTTCTTGCTGATGGAGATTCTCTGAAGATTCACAGATTAGCACAGGGCACCACACAGTGAGAGAACAAGAACATGTGTCAGCTCTGGTCTCTTGGTCATGTTTTTGTTTTAGGTTTTTGCCATAGAGCACGTTTGCTCATTGGAGAGAGACAGAGAGATAAAGTGAGAAATAACTCCCTAGAAGGATGGTGACACTGAATCACTTCTCCTTCATTCGCCTCTCAGAATTTGAGCATGCACACACATGTGCCTGGCATTATTTTCAACCCGCTAGGTCTGGGACTCAAGCCACAGTCAGACACATGGTAATCCAAGTTGTTAACCATGTCACATCTCTGGCCCCTCTCCTTCTTCTTATAAAGACAGGTCTATTTATTCATGGGAGCCCCATCCATAAAATCTTAATTACCTTCCAAAAGCTCCACCTCTTAATACCAGAGTTATATTAAACTTCTCCCCTCTTAAAACCTTATAGTGGGTATTGAATTTCTTCTTTATTCATGATAGTGTATGCATGTGCACACATGTGCACATAACAGAGAGAGAGAAAAGCATTCTCTATAGGACTTGGTTGTGCCATGATCCTTTCTCCAGTCCTCCAGCTTGCCAGGATCCTGGGCATGCACACACATGTCCAGTGTGTTTTCAGGCTGACTAGTCCTGGATCTCAAACTAAGGCTGGCATGTGGCTTCTAGCTTTGCAGTCTAGTATGCTATAGACCGCACTACAAAAGCTGGGTCTGATATTGAATTTCAATATGAGTTTGATGGGAATATTCAAATTGTAGTATGTATTTAATCCATTTTGAGTTAATTCTTGTGTGTGATGTAATGTAAGGGTCACACTTTATTTTTTGTATGTGGATATCCAGTTTTCAACACCATTTTTTTGTTTTGTCTTCTTTTTTTCCAATTGCCATAGGGTGCATGTGCTCATTGGATTGAGACAAAGAGAGAGGGAGAGGGAAAAAGCACCTTCCAATGGACGATGGGATTGTCCCTTCTCCTCCCTTTCTCCATCCTTTTTGGATTTTGGGTATGCATGCACACGTGTCTAGTTTTTTTTTTTTTTTTTTTAGAGGTTTTTGCTATAGGGCGCGTGCACTCACCAGACAGACAGAGACAGAAAGCGAGAAATCACCACCCCCCGGGGGGATGGTCACGCCGCAATCCCTTCTCCTCCATTCTCCTCTCGGGATCTTGGGCACACACGCACACGCGCCCAGAGTGAGTTTAAGCCACTGGATCCAGGACTCGAACCACGGTTGACTACATGGGAGTCCAGCAACATAGCCATTACGCTAACTGCTGGTCCCTCTAGTGTGTTTTTCAAGCCACCAAATCCCCAATTCAAACTGTGCAGTCAGCCAGATGAGATCTAGGTCCCTTGACCACTTGACTACGGGGCCAGCCCTCCATCACCGTTTGTTGAAAACACTATTCTTTTCCCATCATCACTGAAGATCATTTGACACCCCCCCAACACACACACACACACACACACACATATATATGTGGTTTTAGTTCTGGGCTCTGTAACCTGGATCATTGGTCTATATGTCTGCCCGTTTGGAAGCACCATGCTATTTATTATCATAATCTTTTTTATATTACATTGAATCACATATATCTTTACAGTGTATTGCATTTCTTTTTCCAGCATGATTATCATGCTTATCAGTCAAGAGTATCATGCTGTTTTCATCACTGAACTTTTTTTTTTTTTTTTGGAGAGGTTTTTGCTATAGGGCGCGTGTGCTCGCCAGACAGACAGAGAGAGACAGAGAGATAGAAAGCGAGAAATCACCCCCCGGGGGGGATGGTCACACCACAATCTCTTCTCCTCCATTCTCCTCTCGGGATCTTGGGCACGCATGCACACGCGCCCGGTGTGAGTTTTAAGCCACCGGGTCCGGGACGCGAACTGCGGTCGACTATGTGGGAGTTCAGCGTCATAGCCATTACGCTAACTGCTGGTTCCCTTCATCACTGAACTTTATACAAAGAAGTGTAAACCCTCCAGCTTTATTTTTCTTTCTCAAGACTGTTTGGGGTTCTTTGAGACTTGACATGAATTATCAAATTTCGTTTTCTATTTTTTACATAAACTTTCATTGAGATTTTGATAAGTATTGCATTAGACTTATAGATTACTTTGGGTAGTATAAACATTTTAAGAGTATTGTCTTCCAACCAATGAACATGTGATGTCTTTCCATTAGCTTGTGTCTTCTTTAAGCAACTTTTTGTAGTTTTCAGTGTGCAAATCTTTGGTTAAATTTATTCCTAAATACTTTATTCTATTTGATGCTATTGTAAATGAGATTATCTTAATTTATTTTTCAGATCGTTGTTGGTGTACCGAAAAATAATTGATTTTTATGTGTTGGTTTTGAAAACTACAACTTTGCCAAATTTGCTTTCAAAAGTATATTTTGTGGACTCTTTTGGGTCTTCTATAAGATGTTTTCTATGAACAAAGATCAATTTACTATTTCTTTCCAACATGGATGTCTTTTATTTATTTTTCTTGCCGAATGCTCTGGCTAGGACTTCCAGGACTATGTTAAAGTGTTGAGAGTGGGTATCTGTGCATGTCCTGACCTTAGATGAAAAGCTTTCAGTTTTTCATCATTAAGTATGATGTTATCTGTGAACTTTATTATGTTTGAATATGATGTTTATATCCTTCATTATGTTGAAATAAATTTCATCTATTCCTCATTGTTGTGTGTTTTTATCACAAAAGGGTGCTGAATATTGTCAAATGCTTTTTCTGCAATGATTGAAATTGTGTTTTTTGGGCCAGCAGGTGGTGTGGTGGTTAAGGAGCTGGATCCTACATGGCCTGACTGCACGGCTTAATCCCACATCTAATTGCTTGAAAAACATGATGACTGTGTGTGCTTGCCCAATTCTGGGAGAACAGCGAAGGGACTGCAGCACAGCCATGCCCCCTAGAGGGTGATTTCTCATTTTCTCTGTCTCTCTTTGGAGTTCACATACCCTATAGCAGACAAACAAAAAAAGAAAAAGATATTATGTGGTTTTTGTCTTTCATTCTGTAAATGTGGTATATTATGTTGATTGATTTTAAATGTTGAGTTATCCTTGCATTTCAGGAATCAATCCCACTTGGTCATGGTATATAATCCTTTTAATTTGCTGTTGTGTTTGTTTCTGTAGTATTTTGTAGAGGATTTTTGCATTATTATTCATCAGGGATTTTGGTCTGTTTTCATATCATATCTGTGTCTGGTTGGGATATCAAGTTAATGCTGGCCTCAAAATGAGTTTTGAAATTGTTCCGTCCTCTTCAATGTTTTGGAAGCATTTGAGGAGTGCTGTTAATTCCTCTTTAAATGTTTGGTAGAATTTTTCCAGTAAAGCCTTGGCTTTTCTTTGTTAAGAGGATTTTAATGACTGATTTTTATCTCCTTACTGGTTATAGGTCAGTTCAGATTTTTTCTTTCTTTGGTAGGCTGTATGTTTCTAGTAGCTTTTTCCATTTCTTCTACATTATGCAAATTTTTTTACAATAATTGTTACAGTAGTCCCTTATGATCCTTTTATTTCTGTGGCATCAGTTGTAATGTCATGATAGAGAATAGAGAGAACCTCCAAAAGTTCATTTAAAAAAAAAGGTATTAAAATAAACATTTATTGGGGGCCAGCAGGTGGCATGGTGGTTAAGGCAATGAACTCCCATATGGTCAACTGTGGTTTGAGTCCCAGACCTGGAAGCTTTCTTTCTTGATCTCTCTCTCTGGTGAGCACATGTACCCTATAGCAAATTAAAATAATAATAATAATAAATAAAACTTGAAAAATTAAAAATACATATTTATTTTGGTGCATGGTTTTTTTTCACAAACACATTTTTCCATGAACTTCTTGAAGACTCTCCCCACCTCACCCCAAACCTCTTTTCTTTATAAATCACTTAGTCTGGGTATGTATGTCTGTTAAAGCAACACTAAGGATATAAGACGTTACCAGGTCTGGGCTTCCTATCCCTTCATCTTGCTCATGTCACTCTCAGACAGTTGTCATTCTTCATTGTTACTAGGATGAGTCCATCTTAGGCTATTTACACTTCTCCTAGTTTGCTATTTCAGCTTGCACATTTCTGAGAAACCAGATAACTTAGCTTTTTAGGAAGGTTATTATTTATAAGATAAAGGATTTATGAAAGCAAAAGACTTGAGAACAAGGACGAGGGACTTTTCCAGAGGTTCTCTTATTGTTAGTCTTTGATAGGCTTCCTTGGCTGAGGATGAACAAAGTCTGACCTCTGAATACGTTAGGTATTACTTTTGTTATAAGGCAACATTATTATTTATCTATATTTCTGTAAAAACTAGTGTCATAATGCTCTAGAGTTTCCATATAACATCATAAGTCACACTGTATTAAGGTGCCTCTCTTTTTTTTTTTTTTTTCTTTTTTTGGAGAGGTTTTTGCTATAGGGCACGTGCGCTCGCCAGACAGAGACAGGAGAGACCGAAAGCGAGAAATCACCCCCCAAGGGGGATGGCCACACTGCAATCCCTTCTCCTCCATTCTCCTCTTGGGATCTTGGGCATGCAGGCACACGGGCTTGGCATGAGTTTAAGCCACCAGGTCCGGGACTCGAACAGCAGTCGACTACGTGGGAGTCCAGGGACATAGACATTACGCTAACTGCTGGTCCCAACGCGCCTCTCTTGATTGAAAGGATAGTAGCTTCTCTTAGTGCTTGATCTTTCCAGGAACATATATGTATTGGTTTCTCACCAGCCATCTTGGGTATAACAAGTAAGCTTATGCATCTTTATCCTTAAGCCAACCAATGAATTCACTGAGAAGCCTGCCTCTTTGAATATAAGCTATCTTTATAAATATGTTCAATTTAGATCTGGTCTCATCAGGAGTAAAATTCAGAGCAAGCTAAACAGAGAGCCAGCCAGATGGTATGATGATTAAGGCAGCTGGATTGCACATGGCTGACCATACAGTTCAAGTCCTGGACCCAGCAACTTTAATACCCAGGTGTGTCTATGTCTGTGTGTGTGCTTGTGCCCAAAATTATGAGAGAATGGAGAAAGGACTGTAATGAGGTCATCCCCCCAGGGGCATGCGTTCTCATTTTCTCTGTCTCTCTCTGGTGAGCACACATACCCTATGGCAAACTTTAAAAAAATAAATAAATGGAGATGACATATGCTCCATGAGTGTAACTTGGGGTTTCAGAATCTAGGAGTCTAATTCTAGATACCGGACTCACACATGTCTCCTATTTAAGTGCCTGAAGCCCACTGTAAAAAGATATCAGAAACTAGGCCTAGATTGAGAGCATCTTTGTAAACCAATATTCCTGGTTTCAAACATGTCATCTGGTTATAGGGACTGCAAAGTCCCAGGTGATTTTCCTGTGAGGGAGCATTCTACTATTAGCTTGGCCCCCAAAGGACTAACCCCCTTTGTAGCAAATAGACAAGGAATGGTTAGTTATAAGCAGCTGTGGGGTGGGGAGGAAGCTAGTGGTTTAGATAAATGAGTGAATGAATAGATGAATGATCATTTATACAATCTACCCACTAAGGAAAGTACGATGAATCCATGAGCCATGCTTCATTATGTAACTACAGCCAGGGGTCACTGGTATGGATTTTCCTGGTCCTTTCAGACCAGGAGTGATGACTGTGGATTAGGGAAGGTAGGAGACAACTCCCCTACCAAACTTATCCTCCAATATAAAAAAAATTGAAGTCATTTGGATTTTCAGCAATAAGATTCTAGTCCATCTTCCTGAACTTGGAAACCTAGCTCACCTCAAATTACGAAATAGTTTGCAGAAGAAAGCTGCATGAGCACAGGCCTCGATCATCAGTCCCCGAGAACGTCCCTGCAAATACAGCCAGGTACGATCTTCCTCTGGAATCCCATATTCAAACTGCAGGGACTCAAGGTCCTCTAGCAGGTTCATTTCCAAGCTACCACCTCCTGCAGTGACAGATACTAATGAAGTTGGGACCCTGTCCTGGCAGAAGAGGGGTCTATGCAGGAGGGTGTGTGTATGATGACATGTGCACACATCACAAACACTCATAATGGTAGGCTTCAACCCCTCACTCCTAGATGCTGAACGTGGAGTTCACTTCTATCAGTGTGGGTCCTTTGAAGATTCCTAATCATTGACTGCCCACGAATCCTAGATTCATACAAAACCTGAACAGAAAACCCCAAAATGTTGGGGCTGGCAGGTAGCGTGGTGGTTAAGGCGCCAGACTCCCACATGGCCGACCATGGTTCAAGTCCTGGACTTGGTGGCTTGCTTTCTCACTTTCCCTCTCTCTCTGTTTCTCTCTATTGCTCTGTGATCAAATTGAAAAAAAAATAATGATGATAAATAAAATCAAATAATTCTTAGGAAAAAAAAAAAAGAAACCCAAAATGTTTCTCTATAGACTGTACGTACTTTTCCAGATGAATTACACTAGCAAAGGGTTGCACAGGAGTTCGTGGGTCAGGATCTTCTTTCTATTCCCTCCTAGGTTTTAGAAATAGAACCAATAGTATAGGACCAAATTCTGAAGAAATTCTTCCCTTTCACTAATCTCTGTGTTCCCCAGAGTGGAAAAGAGCCCAAACAAAATATGAGTGGTCCCTTGTTTAAGATAGAGGTATCTAAATTATAAAAAATAAACCCAGAGATATCTAAATCCACCTACATACATGTCTCATGAACCAAACTGAGATCGCCCACTCCTCAGTATTCTGGTCCTGGAAGGTAGGAACTACATTTCTAAGAATTATCCAAGAAAGTTGTCATTATGACGCCTTAGCTACCAGATTACTTCAGTCTCTTTCTTAAAGGGACCAGCCCCACCCTAAAGATTTGACCACCTAAAAATGAGCGTGAAGCCCTCTTTTACTCAACAGAATATTCTAAATGTCTATTTGTTTTTCAGACTAGAATATCATATAGATCTTTTTTTTTTAATTTAACTTTATTTTAATTTGAATGGAGAGGACAGAGAGAGAGGAAGACAGTGATAGAGAAGGAAAGTGAGAAAGTAGCCTCCAGGTCCGGAACTTGAACCACCATTGGTCATGTGGGAGTCCAATCCTTAAACACCATGCTACCTGCTGGCCCCTAGAACATCATGTAGATCTTAGCAGTACTTGAGTTATGTTTCCAACTTCATTTTTGTTCAAGAAATCAGTGACATGATTCAGCTGTGGTGGCACTGCAGAAATACAATCCTCTGTAATGTTGCAAGTCATGTGTTAGACTGGGGTTCAGTTCCCAAGTCAATCGAACATGCCCAGTACCTGTTGATCTAGGCTGGCTGAAAGGCTGGGGGTGGTGTGGGGATCCTGTCGTGAGACTCTGGTGCATGCTTGTCTCTCTTTCTCTGTTTCTCATGAAACAAATAAAACAAACTTTAGGGGCACAGGTGGTGTGGTGGTTAAGGGTGTTGGACTCTCATATGGCTGACTGTGGTTCAAGTCCCAGACCTGGTGGCTTCCTTTCTCACCTTCTCTCTCTCTGTCCCTCTCTGATCAAATTAAAAATAAGTAAATAAATATATAAAGTTTAAAATAAAACAGTCTTTAAAAAGATTCAGTGATTTATTTGATAACGATGTTGAGACCAAGATCGGAAATCAAAACCACTGAAGTCTCTCTTTTTTATTAAATTAGGGCTGGGGGACCAGCAGTTGGCGTAATGGCTATGTCGCTGTACTCCCATATAGTCGACCGTGGTTCAAGTACCAGACCCAGTGGTTTAAATTCACGCCAGGTGCATGTACATGCTTGCCCAAGATACCGAGAGGAGAATGGAGGAGAAGGGACTGTGACATGAACACCCCCCTGGGGGGGTGATTTATTGCTTTCTGTCTCTCTGTCTGTCTCTGTCTTTCTGGCAAGTACATGCACCCCATAGCAAAAACCTCTCTCAAAAAAAAGAAAAAAAAAAAATTAGGGCTGGCAGCTGGCACGGTGGTTAAGGTGCTGGACGCCCACATGGTCAATTACAGTTCAAGTCCCAGATGTGGCACTTGCTTTCTTACTTTCTCTACCTCTCTGTTCTCTCTAGTCAAATGAAAAATAGCAACAATAAGAAATAAAATTAAATACATAATTTTAAATAAAATGAAGTTGGAGGTAAAATTCACAAAATATGAAACAGGCCATCTTAAGGTGATATACAAAATATACCACTGATGGCCAGTGGTATATTCGGAATCTTGTATGATCACTACCTCTTAAAATATTTTCAGACGGACAGCAGGTGGCATGGTAGTCAAGGTGTTGGACTTCCACATGGTCAGCTGTGTTTGAATTCCGGACCTGGCAGCTCACTTTCTCACTTTTCTTCTCTCTCTGGTGAGCACACATGCCTTATAACAAATTTTGTTATATGATAATAATAATAAATTAAATGAAATAATTATTTAAAACAATTTTTTTCAGAACTGTCCAAAAGGAAAGCCCACTTCTACTAAACTGTCATTCCCTATCCCACCCCAAGCCTCTAGAACAATGCATCTGCTTTCTGTCTCTATGGAGAAAGAAATAGCTGTCCCAGATATTTCAAATAAATGGAATTATACTATATGTACTCTTTTGTGTCTGGCCTCTCTAATCCCTCTTACAGGATGGCTACTACATCACATTCTCAACATCATTATAGACAAAGTTCTCATGGAGGCTGGAGAATGACATGGTTATAACACAATACTTTGTGACTGACTCATGGGATAAGGTTCCGGGTTCACATCCAGAGACTTCCCTGAACATGACAGGTGGACTCATGCCTATTATCTGGGACTGGCTGAGGGTGACTTGTGCCATCAAGACCATGATATGGATACCTCCCTCTCTCATGGAAGAAATACACAAACTAAAAAAAAAAAAAAAAAAAAAGTGGCATGGAGGCTAAGGTGCTGGGTCCCACGTGGTTAACAGTTCAAGTCCCAGACCCTGAGGACTGAAAATCACATTTGAGGCATGTGTGTGCATGCATGCTCAAAATCCTAAGGGGAAATTGGAGAAGGGACTGAGGCCTTGTTAATTCCCTCAGGAGATAATTTCTCACCTTCCCTCTCTATACATCTATCTCTCTCTGGCAAGTACACACACTCTACAGCAAAAACTTCAAAAAAAAAAAAGTCTCCAGCACTTGATGCGAGAAGTATGGAAATACTGATCAAATCTAAGAAACATTTCCTCATGCCAAAACAGAGAGTAGGTCATTGTAAATTTTTAAAAATATAATAATTTATATAACTTTATTTTTAAAGTTGCTATAGGACACGTACACCAGAGAAAGAGAAAGAGAGAGGGAAAGTAAGAAAGCAAGCCACCACATCCAGGACTTGAACCATAGTTGGCCATGTGGGAGTCCAGCACCTTGACCACCATTGCCACCTGCTAGCTCCAGTCATCCTAATTTTGTAGGTGGTATTTCCTGCCCTGAAGGAAAAAGGGCATCTGGATCTGTATGAACAAGGCCTACATGAAATTATACATGCATGAATTCTAGTTCCATCTTTCACTTACACGTTCTCAAAAATGGGGATTTGGTTGTTGTGGCTTTATACTGTGTCAACTTGGCTGGGCTGAACCATATTTTCCAGAATTCCCTTCCTTCTATGTTTCTGGTTAGGACAGGTCACAAGATAAGTTTGTGTGTAAGATCTGAGGGTGAAAATAAATAAGTAACCCGCTTGTCTCAGCTTGCAAAGTCAAAGCAGGCACCTTGGCAGTTAGTTGTGCATGCTGCTGCTTACCTGCTAGCTGCTGTGTTGGTGTGGGGCAGCAGCTGGACCTGTAAGTGCTACCCCTGCTCCTGGATCCTGCTTCAACTGCCTGTTCCTTGGCCGGGTGGCTTTTTGGCTCTATAGCAAAGGCCACAAGCTTCTGCTGTACACCTGCTATAAGGTGGTGGCAGAGAGAACCGAGAGTCCCAGTCCATTCCCGTCCCTACCCTTCCCGCTGCCTGCCTTACGGAGTTCAAGCTCCATCAGCAGGCATGAACGACAACAACCTTACACACACTGCTTATCCAGCTGCCACACTCAAGTAATGGCAAGTGTCTGTAGTGAATTATTAGACAGACAGATACTGTATAATATATGTACTCTTCGTAGTTCTGTCTCAGAATGAATCCTAGTTAATCCTGATATCCTAGTTAATAAAATTACCACTGTTGTTTGAAGATGAGGCAGTAACTTTAGCACAATCTAGCAAATTAGACTTGTTTCTTTAATAGCAAGAAGGACGATCAAAGAAAGGAACTAAATAGGTTACCTGAAGTTTCAAAAGAGACCGAAAAGTAAGAGAGCAAATGATGGAGTCTGATCCTCCTTGAAGCTGATTCTCAACGTTGGCTTTGCTAACATCCTGGGCAGGATAACCGTGGTGGGGGGGCTGCTCTGTACACCATAGGATATTTAGCAGCATCGCTCACCTCAACCCACTAGATGCTGGCAACACCTCCTAGTGTGGCAACAAAAAATGTCTTCAGGGAACTGGTAGATGACATAATGGTTTTGTTGCTTGACTCCCACGGAGTCGACTGCAGTTCGAGTCCTAAACCAGTGGCTTAAAACTCATGCCAGGCTTGTATGCATGCGTGCCCAACATCCCAAGAGGAGAATGGAGGAGAAGGGATTGTGGCGTGGCTATCCCTCCTGGGGGGTGATTTCTCGCTTTCTGCCTGGCTCTCTGGCAAGTGCACGTGGCCTATAGCAAAAATCTCTCTTAAAAACAAACAAACAAACAAACAAAACACTGTCTTCAACAGTGCCAGTGCCTCCAGCTGAGAGCCGCACTGCCTGGAAGCATGCTGTGTGCCTGTGTCCATGCATCTTCTCTTACCCTCCTACCATGTAACGTACTCTGCAGTCATCAGAACCACAAACTCCATACACTCAGATTACCATGCCCTTGTTTCACACATGAAAATAATGAGTCCAGACAGAAAAGGACTCACTCAGCACCACACTGCGTGTTAGAGGTGGAGCTGAGAAAAGCAGCGGTCTTTTCCTCCCAGCTCAGTGCTGTTACCCAAATGGCCCTGCTTTGCCGTAAGCACCATTCCTCTATAACCTGATGTGTCGTCAGGCTGCTGAATGCAGTCCCGGAGGCAGACTTGTAGTCCCAAGACACTGGGCAATTATTTCACCATTCCGCACAAAACAACCAGGAAGGGAAGAGAAGGCACCAAGGAAAAACCAGCTTTATTAGGAGTCTCGGCATGTCAGGAAAACCCAGTTCAGTCACAGGGAAGAGAGAAGATTATCGGTAGGAGGCAAGAATGGAGTGTTTTAGAATGTCCTCTCATAAACCAAGTGAAAATAAAACCTTCATCGAAATCGCTGAATGCTGAATTTAGCCCAGGTAAAGCTTCTGGAAGCTCCTGGTGAAGTAATGAGAGTTTTGCACAAAGGGAGAGCTCTCCAGCACTGCTGAATCTGCGCTCCAGATAAGGTTAAAGGTCTGGGAGAGGAAAAGCAGAGGAACAGAGAAGGGGAACGTCTCTTTATCCAAACAAGGCCAGCTCAGTGTGTGGATGAGAGAGACCCTAGTTTCTAGACAGAGAGCAGACTAGGAGGCAGAGGGACACTGAAGAAACACAACTTCTGGGCCGCATCTGTCCTACTGTGGAGGACTCTGAGCAGTCTGGTGTGAGTGCACCCCCAGTGGTCCCGGGCAACACCAGGACTCCTTCCGGAGGCCTGGAAGATGGCCACATTGGCTCTGTTCTCACTTCATTCAGAGCAGAAATGCCGATGTCCAGCACAAAGTCCTGGGTCAGAAAAAGCTGAACGGAATGGAGTGGCCACCCTACAACACCTGTACCTCAGTCTAGGACACTTCCTTCCTGGGCCAGTCACTTTCCTCAGGCCAACAGAGATCTTATCCGATATGGGCCCATCTAGAAATCACTTCCACCTTCACGTGAGCACCAGGTGGAGAGACTCTCTCTCAGGAGTCAAAGTTTTAGATCTTGGCCCTTAGATGATGTCCCTTGGGCAGGTCACTCTGAAGCTACCTGCACCCAGGTGCTGGTTTCTGTCCCAAGAGCAGCACTGCCTGGTGATGAGCCCAAGCGGTATGATGCTGTAACTCTGTAAGGGAGAGCTCTCTCGACTTCCACAGGCAGGAAAGGAAGAAATGAGGCAGCGTTTCAGGGAAGTTAATGCCACTTAATTCTTCCATCGAACTTGCTGTGGAAAGAGCAAACAACCAAGGTGTGTGGTCAGTTTTCACTCAATCCTGAAGAGGTAAAGAGAATGCAATAAATCAAGGCTCATAGGTGATTAAAGAAAAGAGAGAAGAATCGACTGAGAGTGAGAAGTATTAAAAAACTTTTCTTTAGTAAGTGGGAGAGTTCATTTATTCTGAGTGAGATAAAACCCATTCTGTGTTTTGTGAGCCTGATTTAAGACTTATTCTGGTTCTGCCCTCCTTCTAGTGACCAAGATTGACTAGCTTTAGATGGCCTAGGGTAGTTCCCAATATGTGTATCAGGGATCTAAGATCTAGTAGGTCGTTGGAAAAGTCAGGAGGTATTTCTGCATAGAGAAACATGTCGTGACTCTGAGAGAACCATAGCAGGTTCATCTCTCAGAGATGTGAGGTAACGGCAGGCAGGACTGCCCTGAAGAAGTCCTCAGTGAATAAAGGACGAGCATATCTTCTTGGGCGAGTTGATCCGTGGGCCAGCAGGGGCAGACAGCTAAAGTGTATTTTGCCAACTGCTTCTATTCAACAAGTTAATGATATACCCACTCCCAGGAGACAACAGCCTGGATGTTCTGGTCAGTAACATCCACTTTTATACTTCCAATTGTCAGTACCTCCAACCTGCCGGGTTTAACAATGATCACGGTCAAGTCTCAGCCTGGGGTCCTACATCTCAGGAATAATTCCTGCTATTCTGCTTTGATCTTTCAGCATGCAGGAGCATCTTATACCTGTGTGGCTCAGCTCACTGCAGTCCCACCCAGGCCTTGAGAACAGACACTTGCTGCTCTCTGCGAACTGTTTGTCTCTGGAGACTAGGGGAGGGGGAAGCTGTAGCTACTCACCGAGCTGTGGAGAATGGCATCAATCTTCTCTTCCTCTGCAGATCCTTTATCCACCTTACTCCTGTATGCGAGCAACTGCTGACGGTCCTTCAGGTCCCGGCAGGTCTGCACACCATGACAAACAGACCATACAAACCCCCATCACCCTTCTCGATGATGGACTGCTTCTGTCACTATCACTTTGACCTAGGTTTAATGTGAGGCCAAGAGGCTAACGTGGGATGACATTGGGTCATGTCCCCACACCACTTCAAGCAGGAGAGATGTATACAGAACTTACATAGCCTAACTTAGTTCTATGAATCCTGAGTGCAATAAGTTTGTAAAAGCACAGAGAAGTTCAGTCAGAAGGCAGTGAAAATAATACTCTGACTAGTTTTAAACTACTTCTTGCCAGACTATTTTTACTCAACCAGTCAAAACTGACAGACACACCTCTGGATCTAGGACAGAGAACATTTAATTCCCCACTCTCCACTGAGGACCTAACTTGGGATTCGTATTTCTTGACTCACATCAATGACGACATCGTGGCACTTGAACTTAGTAGCTAGGTTTAATTTTGTGTCCACATCTTCCACTAGATTGACATATTCCTGTAAAATCTGTGAGAAGAGATATTTCAGATTAATTCCTACACCCAGTAAACACAGAACTCTACAACGTAGAACAAAAAGTCTCCAAAAAGGCAAAAGAATTGTTATATGACATCTACGACTGCGATTATCAATCACAGGAACAGTTCTGCCAGGGGAAGTGAGGTGACGGCAGGCAGGACTGCCCTGAAGTCCTCAGTGAAGAAGGGACAAGTACATCCTCTTGGGAGAGCTGATCCGCGGGCCAGCAGGGGCAGGGCAGACCAGCTGTGCTGTGCCCGTCACTCCCTGACGTCTGTTCTCAGTGACTTTCCCCTGGATCATTAACACAGCACACTGGTCCTCCCCACGGGCTACACACAGGACATGCTCCTCAGAGGGAAAGGCTGGGATTACTTCTAAAGGGCAGAGAACTTCCCTTGCTGCCTTTTGTACCTCAAGGCCCAGTGTAGCCATCGGGCTACTTTCAAGAAAAAAGAACAGGTCAGGTCTCCCATTGGTGACCAGAAGGAGGCTAAAAGTTAGGTCTCCCAGAGTATCCTGTACCCAACTCTCACCCGGAGCCATTACCTGGACAGGGGCACTGTTCTTGTGCAGAATCTCCACCACCCGATGGAAGCCAATGGGTGCTCGCTTCTTGGTGTAGCCCAGCCAGTTCTGAAAAAGGGAAATGGTACAGCAGCAGCTAGGACAGACAGACTCCACACTCTGAGCTAGTGTGGCTGTCTGAAGGTCAGGTCAAAATAATGTAGTGTGGAATAAGAGAAGAACGAGAAATGATGAGGGATGGATCCATCACAGAAGTCAAGGGACTTGAGAGGGTGGAAAAGAATTCGCAGTTTGAGATAAGTGCTTTGATCTAAAGGCACAAAAAGAGGAGGGGGACCAGCAGTTAGAGTAATGGCTATGTCACTGGACTCTCATGTAGTCGACCGTGGTTTGAGTCCCAGACCCTGGGCGCGTGTGCATGCATGCCCAAGATCCCGAGAGGAGAATGGAGAAGAGATTGTGGCTTGGCCATCCCCCCTGGGGGGTGATTTCTCACTTTCTGTCTCTCTGTTTCTCTCTGGTGAGCACACACGCCCTATAGCAAAAACCTCTCCAGAAAAGATAAAAAAAAAAGAGGGGGGAAAGTCTATGAAATACCACTAAATGGAGTAATTTCCTTATTAGTATTCATACTATGAAGTGAGTGTACAAAAAATCCTGTCTTCATCTTCACATGTATATACAGATATTTATTTTTAAATTCACTAGGAAAGGTCTAGAAAGCTAACCATCAAACTTTTTTTTCCAATCCCCAAAGGGCACATACACTTGCCAGAAAGATAGATAGACAGAGTAAGAGGGAAAGTGAGAGAGGGAGGGAGGGGAGGGAGGGAGGGAGAGAGAGAGAAAAAGCACCCCAATGGGGCATGGCCGCAGCGCAATTCCTTCCCTTCCACTTGTCCATCCTGTTAGGATTTGGGGCATGCACACACATGTACTCAGTATGTTTATCAAGTTGCTGTGACCAGGATCTGAACCCAGCAGTCAGTTACATGGGATCTGGCTCCCTTAACCAGCAGGCCACAGAGTCACCCCACCCATGGAACTTTCAAATGTTTGCTTGGAGAAGGGGACTGAAACAGGCACAGGCAGACAAAGAGCAACTTCTTTCTTCGGTCCTTTTTTCTTTTAAGGTTTCTGTATAGGGCACGTATACTCACCAGAGAGAG